AGGTTCTGGATCTTGGAAGCTCTCTCAAGCTGTTTCACCTCATGTTGGGTATCAACCTCTTCACTCTGTCCCTCTGTGATGTAGAGATCAGTGTAGATCCTGTTGAGGAGGGTTCTACTTCCCGTTTCATCACTTCCTTCAGTCACATCTCCTCAGACTGATCTTATGTTCCTCTAGAACCCCCTGCAGGCCAACATCTGCTGAAAAAAAGAGAGGACAAATGAAGGGAAAACATATTGATTGTTTAATAATGTTAAGAATATTTCTGTTTGACAGAAATGAGTCCATCAGTAGACAGATGTCTTACCTGGGAAAGACTGCTGTCCAGCTCTGGGCTTTTCTCCACAATGGGGACAGAAGGGGTTACCTGCTGAGATGAACTGGTCCCAGTAAGGCTTTATGCACTGTCTGCAGAACTGGTGTTCACAATTCATGGAGATCGGTTCTTTTAGGATGTCCTGGCACAACGCACAGCATAACAGCTGGATCTTATCAACGGGATGGTTCTTCTGTCTACAGGCATAAAAAGACACAGTAAGAACAAAACACAGCAAAGCCCTGGACGACTGACAGCTAGCAACCTGCTACAGTTCATTAATGCTACAGTTCAGCTAAGAACTGTTAATGGAGCGAGGATAGATGTAGTGGACCCAGGTAGTAGAGTAAATGATGGTCGAATGGTGAAATAAACAAAAATCCAGGCAGCACAGGTGAGCAGAGGCTAGGAGCTCAGATGCTGGTAGCATGTGATAAACAGTGCAAAGACAATGACGGGTGACAACATACGACAAGGCGAGGAAACACAGACACAGGTGGGGTTAAATACACCAGGGAGTAAACGAGAGACAGCTGGAGACAACCAAGGATAGGCAGGACAACAGAGACTCAACTGAACACAGAAACCTAAATAAACACACAGAAAAAAAATCCTTATTTACGTGGCTTATTTATGTGTTTTTGCTTTTAAGCACAAATCTTTTATCCAAGATGATAAAGCTGGCAGGTTGACAAATAACTTTAATCAACTTGTGGGACCAAAGATAAGATGGCAGCTTACTGTAAACCAGTACTTACATTGTTTCTGAGGCTCCAGGGTCATTATGGAAATATATAACTTCACCTTTGGACTGGTTACTCACAGACAGTCTGGAGACCAACCAGTCTGTCTGTGCTGCTGGGTCCTGTAAGCATAGATATATAACAAGGTCACTAATCGTCTTCTCTATATAGTCATTTTATAAATGAAGGTGTTCTTGACCCAGTTGGACTATTGGGAAAACGGTTTTGAATGTTTTTATTTCTCCTGCCCCTCAGGTGGAAGCATGAGATGGTTGAGGTAATTCATGGTTCCACCACTGAGCCTCATCGGCCGAGTCAGGGAAGTCATGAACACCACAGAGCACTGGTGCAGTAAACAGACCAAGGTAGAAGTTGGGTGATAACAGATATAATATCACAGATGGAAAATACAGAAAGGTTTTTTTAATCAAGGTAGAAGTTTAGGGGGGAAAGTTGCTTACATTGAATGTGACGTTCCAGGGTCATCATGGAAATATATCACTTCTCCTTTGGACTGGTTACTCCTCATGGACAGACAGTCAGATCTTGGAGACGCTGGCTTCCTTTTAAATTGCTGACCTCTGTAAGGACAAATGAAACAAGCGAGGTAAACAGTACTGAAAATCCTAAAAGAACCTACATGCAACAAATCATGCAATGCTCTTCTGCTTGTATGCGTTTTTGAAAACGGAGCGTTGTGCTGCCCTTGGAGGGTTGAAGTCTATTGGGCCAAATATCTGGTTATTTTGAAGGAAATTCAACAAACTCTGCTGTTGTGAAGAGAAGGTGGTTGGATCACCAAACCCTTCAACCCTGGTGATGCATGTTGGACAGAGCCAACCTTTCCCAGCCATGACTCTGATAAGGCCTGGAGCAAAACTCAGGTGTGTGGAAAGACTGGTAGTTCTACCAAGCTGTAGTCCTGGTCCAAGATGGGGGTGAGTGAAGACTCTGAGACTAAAGGGGGCCAGCCATAGCAATGAATGGAGGCAGACATTATTCTCCACCTCTAAACTTCTACCAGAACCGATGCCCGGATCACAGGGTGCAGCCACACATGCGTATCAATATATGTGTCTTGGACTCAAGACATGTGCCCATTACTATAGTTAGTGTTGGACTGCCATCTTTACTCTAACTGGACTACATCTCCCAGCATTTATTGCTCTGGAGCACATCAATTGCTTATATCACTCCACAGTAAGCCTCTGAGCTGCAGAGAAGAGAGTCATCTTTGGCGCTCAGCCTCCGACAGAAAGGAGGCTGAGCGCGATAACTGTACCTGTGATGGAAAAGGACTTTTTAAACATTTGCTGAGTAACCAGGTGAACTCCTTAAGAGCCGGAGTAGGAGCATCGGGTGCTCTGGGAAACCCAGTTTTTTGCTTTTTAAAAAATGTTTTTGGTCTTTATTTCATAGTAGATTGACAGGAAAGCTGGTTGTGAGAGAAGGGGAAGACATGCAGCAAAGGTTAACAGGCAGGAACCTGCAGCATCCGCATTGAGGACCGAAGCTTCTCAACATGAGCCACGCTCTGCCACCTATGCCACCGAGGCACCACAACTATGCTGGACTTTCAAAATGCTCTATAAAATAAAAGCCTTTATATTCAGGAAAGCAACTTTGTGAAGAATTAGGATGTACAGAACCCCTGGAGCTCCACCAGTGGTCAAAATGGGTTTCATTTTATCATTTCAAAATACAGATTACTGATATTCCCAGCACAAAGGCCTCAATATATCATAGATGCTCTTTCCATTCTGAGCTGAAAATATGATTTTAACTGAGTTCTTATACTTAGGAAACCAAATAATGGGATTTATTTTTGCCAAATTAACCGTTTACTGCTACCCATTGTCAGTATCTGTTATCAGGAACACAAGGTGGACAGTGACCTCACGCTGTAACAGGCAGAAGGATTTCATGAAAAGTCTGCATGACTCAGTGGTCAGTTTTTGGTCATTTTCATTTATCTGAAACATGAACTGAGTGTCACTGTGATTCACATTGAAACCAACTCCGTCGCCAAGCAGCTCCATAAAATACATTAGTCCACCGCATAAACCAACATTTAATCAGACTTATGTTTGTTAAGATGGAGTTTACGTTTTATTCTTGGTCTCCTTCCATTTCCGGTTTATTTAATTTAATCTTAATTTTAGCAGATTGGTTTCTTGAAAAAGTTCATGTCAGAATATCCAACTTGTAGAAATCTGAACTTAATTCACTGATTAATAAAGTTAGTGAGATGAAGTTACAGTATGTGAGTAGAAACTGTTTCTTACTTTGGGTCTGAAGTTCCAGATTCATTGTGGAAATAAATAACTTCTCCTTTGGACTGGTCACTCTGTACAGATGGACACAGATCCAGGAGCCTCCGGCCTTCTTCTGACCCGCTGACCTCTGCAAACACAGATCAGCAACGTTCTGCTGAGGCTCCTTCATTAAAACAGATGTTAGCCCCAAAACACCGAAGCTCTGGATGTCACAGTGAAACTCTTGATCTGTTCTCCTTCATTAACTGCAGATGTAAGATGCTCATCTGAATAGTTTCACATAAGCTTTGTACTGGGTGGAAAGACTTGAGAGTTACTTGTAAAACAATCAGTCTACTAATTAGAGTCTACAGACAATGAACTTCAGGGTAGACGGGTCCAAAGTCCTGCTGCTGAGAAAGCTTTTTCTTTCACTTTTAGTTTTCAGCCTCATATGTGGCACACCCAGCAGGCCCTGGTGCCATGACCTCTACAGGCTGAACCCTGACCCAGGAGAACCTTTTCCAGGTTCAGAACCTCAGACTTGGAGCTGAAGTTCTGCTCCAACCCACCAGGAAAACTCTGCTGAAGCTCCAGCATCTCGCTAAAACATGTTGGTCCGGCCACAGAGGGAACTACAAGGACTGAACTACACACCACAGGATGGGAAAACTCTGAGTCCCAGAATGCACTGCTCTACACATTTCCATACACTTCCCAGGAACCACAGTGGAAACCCCCTGGATGTTGCAGAACTAAACTCTAGTCTTTTACTTGCTCGCTGAGTAAAACACTGGACTTTCAAAGAAACCACATGAAAGGTTACGTCCAGTCAGCAGTTTGGTGATTTTATTCTGATAAAAATGATCCTGAATCTGTTTATCTGAGCTGCTGCAGAAAAGAACCTCAAAGAATCACTGATTCCCCAAGAAGAGACGATGCCTCTGATAATGTCCTAAACAAAGCATTCCTGAAGGTTAGCGTTGTTTTTTTTGTATGCTGGAGAGAAGTTGTCTGAGTTAATTCTGTACATTTGCCGTTTGAGAATGTCAGGCTTCATGTGTTTATTAGCAACACACCTCACCAGCAGGGATCCATCAGAATTGAAAGCATTTAACTGTCATTTCCTGATAAGATCCAAATTACTGAGCATTTATTAGTAGATAACCAGACATAATGCTGCCTTACAGGATGGTTTTAAAGTTGGTCAGTAAGAAGCTCTGCTAACAGTTCTGATGAATCCAGAAAGCTACATCGCCTTTAGCTGAGCTGCTGCAGAGGTCGTCTCTTACTTTGGATCTGAAGATCCAGAATCGCTCATGAAGACTCGCTGATCTCGGGCTGTCCAGGCAGACGGGCCTCTTCATCCTCAGAATCTCTCATCTTCAGTAAGTCTGACAGCAGAACGCAAGAGTCCAGAACCAAAATGTTAGAGTCACAAGATAAGGAAAGGCAAAGGTTTCACCCACATAAAGATCTACAGAGTAAAACAATAAACTCATAAGCTCCAGCTTATATTTTACATAAATGTTGAGTGATTAAACAGCCAAACATGCAAAGTTCAGGTTCCTTTATTCACAGCTGCAGTTAAATCTGATCCAGAAGCAGAGGAAACCAGAGACCCAATATAGCAGTAAACGGAGGCCTGTCATCATTCTGAGCCATAAATCCTCCCAGAAGTTATGGCTATAAATGATAATGTTGTTTTGAGGCTGTTCCCCAGTATTACAGTGATGTGATAAGAACAGATTAATAAACATTTAGCACTGGAAGATATTTTAAATATCCAAAACAAATAAACTACAAATCAATTATAAAGAATCTGTAAACAAAACTGTCCTTCAAAATAAAGTTTAGTCAAGACCAAAACACCAGACTGGATCCAGTTTCTGTTGGCCGAGGGAGGTTTAGGTTCAGCTCGACTCAGATCAGCCCAACATTAAGCTCCACTTAAGGTTTAAAAACCGAAAGCGACGCGCAGGAAACAAAGGTTTATAAGTAAATTTTAAAAAATAGTTCAATTGTTCCCTTCCGTCTCTTATATAAAAACAGAAAGAGTTTAAAGTTTAGATGGAGCTCACCTCGTTTCTCTTCGTGGTGAGCTCTTTAGTTTAACTAAGTGTTAAACTAAACTTAACATTCAGTTTATTTTTTATTATTTTCCTTTGGTAGCAGTTAAGAGCAATTAAACAAAAAAAAAAAATTAAAGAAATAGTGCCACAAGAATAAAATACTAAATTATGGCAAAACAAACTGTAGTGGCCAAACATCCATTGAAAGTTCCACCAAGACGCCACTAAGGCTCTGCGGTCAAGTTTCTTTATGCGGGCAAAAGAAGGTTCCATGTCCAAACTTGTAGATTGTTCTGGATGGTTTATTTTCCCATTTCAGCAAATAATTACAGAGTTCAAACTTTCCTTTGCTCTCTGTAAAAACCATCGGCCACAAACCCAAATGCTGCTGGTCCTTCACCAGGACCTGCTCTTACAGAAAGTGGACTGAACCACATCACTTCCTGTCTTACTTAGAAAATAAATAAGAAAAATAATAAAGCAAAAAATAAATAAAAACAATTAACCTACAAATAAACTCTGTAAATAATTAAAAAAAATATATACATTTAAGAATAAACTAACAAAACTTAAATGGATAAAGAGATAAAAAATAGCTCCAACACAAACTGAAGTATTTAGTAATAAGCAAATAATAAATGATGTGAAACCATAATAAATGGTATTGAAATAAAAAGAATGAAATCAGATTTTGGATTATAACCTGCACTGGAAGACTTGTTTTAACAATGCAAAGCTAAAATATCAAATTATTGCAGGATAAAATAAAATTTAATATTTTCTAAATAGAAAGCTGTTGCTTAGCATTTATATAAATAAAGGACTGTACAGACAAGAATACATTCTTCAGAAGAATTATGAATGCATCTGATTATTATTAAATAACTAAATGTTTATTACAATGTGTCATTTAAACGTTATGATTTATGAGAGCATCGACCATTTAACATTGTAATAAACTCACTTCAAGTTGTGAACAGAAGTGGATTAAAGTTAAAGAAGCAAAGTTTGAATTAAGAGAGAAAAGTCTGAGTATGAACGGTTGTCCTTCAGTTGGAGGGATTTGTGTGTTAAAACCATTTTCCACCTTAAACAAATAAAATGATTTTCAACCAGAAAGATTTGAGCCAGGTCATTTTCTTTGAGTTTATAGACTCAGTTCAATTAAAAATCTCAAATATTCAGAAACTCTGCTGCTGCTTTACAGCTGGATGTATAAAACATTAACTTCTGGCACTTCAGGTCTGGATGTGAACAGATTCTGAAGTATTACAGACACTTCTCTTAATTCTGTCTTGTTTTCTTTTTCATTTTGGGATGTTTTTAATTTTTGTAATGTTAAAAATGACTGAAGACGAGATGAATATCAGAGGGCGAAACCTTTGTCTGATTATTAAACAGAGCCATCAGAATGTCGCCGCTCAGCGCCCCCTGCTGGCTGCCTCTGAACTGCAGGCGGCGCTGAGGCAGAAACTCACCTGCAGCGTCAGAACCGGAACAATAAAACCGAACTAAATGAGTGCAGAACGGTTCGGTTTGAAACACCGCTGGCCAAAAAGCCCAACACTAAAATAAAATAAAAAACAATTAGACATTAAAGCCAACGTATCAAGCCAAAAGAAAAAGATTTTTTAAAATGTAAAAAGAGGAAATTTCAATTAAAGTAATTAATAATTACAAACCCTGAAATTAACTGGATTAAAAATGTTCAATCAAGTCAACCTCTCGTTGGAACATTAAGATTCTGTGAGGATTTGGGTTCTGTGTTCCGGTCCTGTTCACTCTGATCCCAGCTGTCCCGTTTCCTCCTCGTCTAGTCTGTCGTTTTCTGCTACCATCACAGGTTGAGCGCCTCGCCTTTGTTCACTGTGCTGCCTGGATTTGTACTTTGAGATATTAAACCATCATCATTTATTCAACATCCTGGGTCTCCTGCATCGACCTCACCACCTCACTTTATGCAGGGGTGAAAGTAAGGAGGTACGGTCGGGTACTGCGTACCCCTAAAAGATTTAGCGGGGGTCCGCAGTACCTGCAAGAGAGGGGAGCGGCTGTCAGCTGTAAACAAAAAAAAAAAAAAAACAAAGGTTCACTTGGTGAGTTCACCCACTAATTAGTTTTTCCAAGAACAATCTAAAACAGACTTGGTTAATAACTCCCCCC